TGTGTGTGTGTGTTTAAGCAGCTACGAGGCATGGTGGCAAAACCTTAAGCTGCTGCTTCAAGTTTACAGGTTGTTGCTTGGTAACCAAAGAGCGAGTGAGTGAGTGAGTTAGTTGATACCACCAGCCTTGCTTAGCGCGCTCTTTTTTCAAATGAAATCTAACTGATAAAAGTAACTGTAGCAATGAAAGTATCAAGTAACAAAAAAATAGTAACATCAGTATCCATTTAAAGCAACTGTAGCAATGACTGTATCAGGCAAGAACAAACCGGTAACATTAGTATCCATTTACTTACCGTCCTAGTTAGTCTTGCACTGGCATCTTCAGCTTCGTACTGCCGGATGGTCTGGAACAATCTACGGTATTTTTCTGCTGTATTTCTCCTGGCAATACGTAGAAGTCGTTCGGCATTTTGCCTTCTGAGGATAACTTGTTGACGGAATTTAATTAATTGTATGAGGTTGATGAGCAGCAAAATTAGCTCCCTGTCATTCATTGTTGAGTCGTCGTTGTCGTAGTAGTAGTATTAAGTAGTCTTCTTCTTCTTTATTATATTGGCAGTTGGCAAACAACCAAAGGAAGCATTACCCTCACCAACTGGTAAAGGTTGTGGACCCCATTGTTTTGTTGAAAAAATAATGACCCAGTTCTATGCAAACACAACAGGGCTGCAGTACTGGTGGGACCGGACCGAAGCTGGCTGGGTTGGTCGGACCGTGCCATGCAGTGCAAAAGGGACAAAAGTTTAGAGCGGCTAAAGCCTGTCCTCTTGTCTACTTCTCCCAGAATGCTGTGCAGTTTTGGATCGAAGTTCAGTGAATATTAACTTAAGTCGGTGACCAAATCAATAACCACGTCTTCCTCTTTTTTTGTAAAAACTCTGCATACATATTTGCAAAATTATATAAGGTATAGCAAACCACGAAGCTAGGGGTGTTATGCTAGGTGAAATACATCGGCACTGCTCTAATTGGAGGTAGTTCCTTTTGTTGGAGGCCAGCAAGAAAAATATACCGCGGAGCTGTGTGTGTGTGTGTGAGCTTGATAACCTCTTCCAAATGCGCCGCAGTTCCCAGAGTTTCTACAGCTGTTAGGAGGAGGATAACAATTAATTGAGGAAAAATGACACGGCACCTATAGGAAGCAGTCGTATCTCTACTGGGAAGAAAAACAAATATTTAAAGGCTAAATTTAGATGCATGAAGTCAATGTTGGTGACATGACAGGAAATAGCTGAATAAACCCGGAACTGTTTAAACCGGAAGTATTCCGCGGCTTAAACGAGTTTCCACGAAACTCGGTAAATTGACCGCGGGTTTTCAACATTTTTAAATCCATCAATAAACGATGGATTTACGTTATGGCTTTTCACACATCTTCACTGGAGTTGCTAAATAAATATGGCCGTTATTGTACCTTTTGAATTCAAAATGGCAGCTCGTAGAGCCTGTATTCACAGTCTAAATAACAGAGGTATTGTTTGTAGGTGTGCCTGTGCCACCGTGGGTCGGCTACGATGAAGAGGACCTCATACAGGAGCAAATCTTAGCCCTCTCAGCTGTCAGTACCGCCATAAAACTTCAACAGTATATCTAGTGATGAAAACAAACAAACAAAAAAATAACTGTAACTCTGTTGTTTGATTTCAACGGACGGCAGGACAAAAGGAATTTTTTACGAAACCCTCCCGCTGGCGTGCAGTTTCATTTCGACTTTGAGCAAACGTATCCCGTCGCCTTGGCGATGCTGGAGGAAGACGAGCTCCTCAGGAAGATGCGCTTCCATCTGGTCCCCAAAGAGTGAGAATGGTTCACTGGTGGCCTACTGTTCAGTATTTGGAGTGTTTTATTTCGAAGAAGAAGAAGAAAAAAACATAAGTGAACGGAGTATGTTTTCTTTTCTTAATATATTTTTGGGTTTAGGTTGAAGGAAGAAAACTTCTGGAGGAATTACTTCTATCGAGTCTCTTTGATTAAACAATCGGCTCAGCTCACAGCTCTAACGGCACAGCGGGACTCAAAATATCTGGATTCTGATCGGACAGGTACAATCCGCCATCATGTGCAGCTTTAAATTGTTTTTTTTTTTTTTTACTGGTTAACATTTAGAACAGTATCCAGTATCATACATATATTCCTTAAACTTGAATGTTTTTTTTTTTTTTACATTAAGACATGACATTTTAATATTTTGTCTTTCCTTTTTTTAAAAAAACTGAAAAGTGTGGCGTGCATTTGTACACCCCTCACCCAAATCCGAGTAAAAGCCAAAGCGAAAACAACCTTTGACCAGAGGTGTTCAAAGTGTGGCCTGGGAGGCCATATGTTCTCCCTTTCACTTACTTAAGGTCTAAACAATTCAAACATGTGAATATACTTTGACCTTGCAGATCTGGGTGTCTGTTAATTGCCTTTCCTAGCCACTAGAAGGTTTTCCTCCTTTATTGTGTTTTCCTCGATCAATGGAGGAAAGCACATGGTCATGTTCAGAGTGACGTGCAGCTAGCTTCCCATCTGGAAAATCATATTCTAGGTCTCATCTGGCCAGAACACCTTCTCCTGCATGTTTTTTTAAAGGTTTTGTTGGCTCTAGTGGCCTTTACTTGAAAGTAGTTTGACAGGAAAGAGGGTTATGAGAGAGGGGGAAGACATGTGGCAAATGTCACCAGGCTGGGAATCAAACCTGCAGCCACCAGCATGAGGACTAAGGCCTCAATACATGGGTTGTGCTTTGCCCCTGCGCCACCACAGCAGCTCTCCTCCTGCATGTTTTGTACTTTGAAAAAGCAAAAACACTCATAGTTTGATGTTGCATCTCTCCAGGTGTAGTTAAACATCCGTGCACCCCAACTGTCCAAAAACCCACACAGAATGAGGTAATTCATAAATTTTTTTCAAAGCGTGAACATAGCTGAAGTTTTTCTTTGGAAATAACTATATGAAATACAACTAATCCCACATTTTGTTTGTGCCGGCGAAGATCGACAGGAAGGTCTCCACCAGGCTGCCCATGTCTGAGTTTGTGATTAATGCTTTAAAGTCGTCCACGATTAATGAGGAGGAGCTGTGCAAACGTCCAGTTTTAGACAAAACGGAACTGAAAAAACATGGTAAATCTTTGGCTTCAACCATAGCACGAAAAATTTCTAGACCGTTTTGCTTTAGAGTTCAGTCATTTTACAGTTTTTTTTTTTTTTTTTTTTTCAGACGTCATTCCTGAGTGGGAGAGAGAGCTGCAGGAGGAGCTGGAGGAGTACGACGTGTTGCCCGATACCGAGATCCACGATGAAGCCTGGGACAGAGAGATCGAAGAGCTGCTTAACGAGGAACTGTGATAACGGCCTCACCAGCATCACGATGAGAACGACCATCACATTAGTTATCCTCTAAGAAGTCTAGAGTTACCGACTAAAATCCTTTGTAAGGCCGTGATGCGACTATCAGAAAGTCCTGACCTCGTTTGGACAATAAAGCTCAGGAAGTTGTTGCCGTTTCAGTTTCCTCCTTTCAACTCCAACCTGGAACCACTTGTATTCTGATGGAGTCGCTGTGACTAACGCTGGAGACATGTTGTGAGGTGTTTTACCCAGAATTCCCTCGCTGGGCAAAAGCCGAGTTGGGACGAGCCAGCAGAATAAGCAGTATTTCAAAAGAACTTATGTTTTATAAACAATATTACTTGTTAATAATTTGGTGTTGAGAGATGAGCGTTTTTTTTCTGAAAACGAACTGCCACGAAGAATAAATCAGATTTTTACTTTTGTGTTGAATGTCTGTTTTATATTTACCACCAATGACAAAAAAAATGTTCACTTTTCTGCAAAATTCACCAACTGCAAAATTCTTGTTAAAGTAGTGTAAGATAAGTAGTATTTCAAAAGAGCTAATGTTTTATAAACAATAATATTACTTGTTAATAATTTGGTGTTGAGAGATGAGCGTTCTTTTTTTGTGTGGTAATGAACTGCCATGAAGAATAAATCAGATTTTTACTTTTGTGTTCAACATCCGTTTTAAAATATATTTACCACTAATGACAACAAAAAGAAAAAAAACATTTTCACTTTTCTGCAAAATTCACTTACTACACAATTCTTAAGTAGCATAAGATAAGTAGTATAAAAAGAGAAGAAGAAATCTTACGGTTTTTTTAAACAGTGACAATACTTTTTGTTAATCTGTTGCTAAGAGATGAGCACTTTTTCTGGTAACCAAGTGCCATGAAGTAAACATCTGATTTTTACTTTTGCAAAATTAAAAATTAGAAGGCAGAGCATTGACATTAGCATAAACAGTAGCATTAGCCTTTTCCCTAAAATAAGCTTTTTAGCTATTTTTATTTTATTTATTAGCCATGTTTAGCACACTGGATGGAGGCAGGCAATGTAAGACAACATGCTACTGATAGCCCACATGCCACTGGCAGCATTTAGGCTAACATTAGCATTCTGGCTAATTTTAGCTTAAACACTAATTTTAACATACGGAATGGAGTAGGTCCATGTTACTTAACATGCTTGTGATGCTCCACATGTTATTGAGTACATCGTAGCTTACTTTAGCATTGATACTAATTTTCAACACCAGAACGCTGGTTTCCAACCAATGGGCACACTTTAGCAGGCCCCATTTAAGATTCTTCAGAAATTTTCTAGTCATTGGTTTATTTGCCTCTTTTTTAAGTTTATTTCCAAGTGTGTAGTATTGTTTTAAATGAAAAATCTGCATAGTGCATTAATTTATTTTTACCCGATTAACTGATTGACAGAATAACCAATAGAACAATCCATCCAATGAATTTTGTAAAAAAAAAAAAAAAAAATTCTATTAACCCCTTAAATTACATTTTCTTTTTTTTTATCACTCCTATAAAAGTTATCAATAACAAACAAACAAACAAAAAAAAGATGATCAAGTGTAAACTTGTTCAGGACGGCATAGTTCTCCCTCACAACAAGAAAGCATTTTCAAGTCGCTTCACACTGAGCAATAAACACGACTCTGGTAATGAACGGCTTTTATTTCACTGTAAACACAACACAAAGTGCCACAGATTCTATGTCACACAAACTCTTTAGACAAGAAACCGCTCATCAGGAGGCATAGAAAAGATGTAAACAGCACAATTTGGATTTTATCAGCATATAAATCAAAATAGGACATACACAAGAATGCACATTTATAACAAGGAATTTGTACAGTCCTGCGTCCAAGGCATTTTATGTGTGCAGCTTTTTCTTTTCAGATCAAATGGTTAAAAATTACAGTTTCAATGCATAAAAACTCTGAAGGTTTATGTTTCTATTGCTTCTTATAAACAAAGTTTCACCATGTAAGGTTTTTTATAATCATTTTTATGATCACAGTCAGTAGGTAGTTTACATGCTCCACAGTGTGTCATCGTTTAGTCCTACGGTGAGATTTCTCTTCATTTAGAAAGTATGGGCAGTACACAATTCAGCTTTCTTGGACTCTACTGCTTACAGGTGCAACTTGGCAAACAGGAATATCTCTGAAATGATAATTTCAGTAATTCAATTCAAAAGTGAAAAATATTTCATTATACCGCCAAAAGTATTGATTCGTTTGGCATCAGATATGGTAGAAGCAGTACCAGCTTCAAATATTTGTAGGAAAGCTTTGAGTTTAGGAGGAATTCACTATTTCCCCAATGGTCTTATTTGTGAGGTCGGACACTGATGTTGGTCAAGACGGCCTGACTCGCAGACTCTGTTCTGATGAATTGGAAAAGTGTCCTTCCAGGCTGAGGTTATGGCTCTGAGCAGACCAGTCGAGCTTTCCCTCAACAAACTCAGTCATCTGCGTCTTTACGGACTTTGATTATGCCCTATTTTGCAGGTATATTTGAGCATTAGATGACCATCTCCAAACTTCTCCCTAAAATTGTCCAAAATGTCTTAGAATGCTGCAACATTATAAAAAGAAAATTGTTTTGAGGATATTACTGAAAGTTATTTTTGTTTGATTTGGTGAATGTTGAAGGGAGTTCGGGGAGGGGAGGACCTGCTTGACCTTTCATGACCTCTCGAAACATTTATCAATATCTTTAAAACGGTAACCGCACAAATGAAAATTTGTTTCTGCACAAATGTTTATTTAATTTGAAGAAGGTGGAGGGGAGGGGAAACTTCACTCAGGTGCTTGTTTGCCTTTTTCTACCACATTCTTTTCTTCCAATCAACTTTCCATTAACTTTCATTTGAAATAATGTTTAATATTTGCTTGAGTATGCAGTTTTTGCTAGCTTTTAGTTGTCACTATCAAACTAAACGTCGTTAAGAGTCTAAAGAATCTACATAAAACACAAGTTTCACTTTTGAATTAAGTTACTAGGATCAGTTCACTTTTTGACGGTATCCTGATCTGTCCACATTAGAGCAGCATTGCTCTAATGTGGACAATACATTTTGTTCAAGGTATTTTTATTAGCTGTGAGGCAGGAAATGACGTCTAAATTAATCTGTGGGTCTGAAGTTAGACACCAGCCCTCTACAGGAACAAGTGGGTATCAACCATGGATGGATGGTTAGTTCTTGTTTCAGGAGGCGTTAACAGTTGCTGCATGTCTCTGACTTTTAGTCGACATGGTTGTAAACATGGAAATGAAAAACAGTCGGCTTGATTCTTGCACTTTTACGTGACGTAAAACCAATCCAGCGCGTTTACCTGCTACATTGTTGCCATTTAAAAAAAAACCTCACATAAATACTAGTCAGTGGTTTAAGGCATTCGACTGTAAATCTATTTTTGTAAAGCCAAAGTTTGACCGATCAGAACGGCGTGAGCTTGTAAACGAAGTTATTACAGCGTTTATTCCGGACTGAACAGTGACACGTTGAGTGATCACAGTGAGTGTGTTTTAATTCACGCACATCTTCAGTTTAAAACTTATCGGCTATTGATAACCTCACAACGATGAGCTCTTACTCTTTGGTTCTAATGTAATACTTTAGACTTCCCTTTATATAATGTGACAATCTATTCCCTTATTTGAGAACAAAACATAAAAAGCATAATAAATTACTGGTTTTTTTCCCCATATATCATCACACTGCGCACTGAAAAAACTGAGAAGGAAAGAAAAAAAAACATAAAAAGAAAGCAGAAACTGCTAGATATGACTTTACAGTCAGAATGTGTGATTGCATTAGCTGGAGGGTGAATCAGAGTTATCAGGTCTATGAAGAACATTAGCCAGAACAGGACAGGGATCTGAGGTCAAAGCGTGATGATGAGGAGGAGGATGATGATGATGATGATGATGGAGAAAGTGTTTATGTGAGTCCAATTTCCTCCAGCACGCTGCGAGGGGTCTCTGCATCCTGTAGGGGAGAGGGGTGAAGAAATACTGAAACCATGGTGCTCTGCAGAGACGTTCTGACCTCTTGAACTTTTACGCGGTTTCTCATGTTACGATAAACGGATATTATCTATTTTATTTGTTGCTGCGCAAAACAAGAAGTGCTTCTAAATTCACCACATCCTTGCAGGTACTGCTACCAAAACCTCACCAAGTGAGGGAGTTTCAGAAGTTTCTGATCTGTGTTAAAGGGGCAGTATGATGTGAAATGGACTTTTTTTTTTTTTTAGCTCTGTCATGTTATAAATTTATTCTTCGCATCAAAAACATACCTGGAGCGTTGCTTTGATTCTTTCATGCATGTTTGAGAAATCCTTGAATCTCCTAAGAACTATTTTAAAGGCGTAAAAGGGGAGCATCGTTGTGACGACATATGAAAGTGGAGCGTCACAAAAAGTAGGAGCTTCTTAAAGAGACAGAGGCTCATTTCATGGTGTTAATTTGCGAAGTTGAACTTCTTTTAAGTTATGTTGGATATATACAGAATTTTTATACTTAAAAGGTAATTTAGTTACTTAATTGTGCTATAAAACGGCACTGTGTGCCTGGAAAATATATAATACTGCCCCTTTAAGACTGTTTTTGTGATTTAAAAGTCATCTTTTCTATTTTATTTCACCCCCATTTTGGGCTGGATTAACTTCTCATTAGTTTATGCATGTCTCTTAATACTTTTCTTAATAGTGTTTATTTAATAAATCTACATGTTGAAATATTGTAATTTTTCTCTCTGTTTAGCTTTCTGACATGTTTCTGCCGTACCTAAAACCAAAAACATGCAACAGATTCCCATCTTACAGGTTGGCGTTGGTGTCATCGTGCGTAGAAGTAGACCAGTAAAATGTTTCCTAAAATTGGGCCCGTCTTTTTCTTTTTGTTCTCGATTGTTCAAGATTTGAAATGTCGACGCCAGAGGTTACTGTGACTCTGCCGAGCTGTGCTCTCGTGCTCGTACGGATCAGTTTGTGGAAGAAGGAGAAGGAGAGACACTTACTTTGGCGTCCTAAACCAGCGTTCAGCACAAAGGTAAAGAGAGGAAGTTCATCAGAGCAGTGAGACAGAAAATCGACTTCACACAGAACGAGGATCTAACATTTCAACTGGGATACATCTGTAAAAACGTTACACTTCAAGAGAAGAAAGCTCAAACTCTAAGTACACCATGGAGACCCATGTTGCATAAGAACTTTTCTAAATGTATTTTTTTACAGCATGTTATATATTTATGCCTCTTAAACCTTTTTCCACATTGTATCAGACAAGAACTACACACTTCAGTAAATTTTATCTTGGATTTTATGCGACAGACCAGGCGTCAGCTAACGTTGCAACCCAGACAGCCATTTTGGACTTTGGTCCAGCTAAACAAACTACATGAAACCAATAAGCTTATTGAGCTTGGCTTATCAAAAATAGTTTGATTTGTTAAATGAAAGAAAAGCACTTTTATTTTTTGTTATTTTTAGGTTTCAACATAAATTTATCAAACTGTTTTTGCACAAAAGGAACACACAAAATTTTCAATTGAAGATAATTCTTTTAAAAAGATGCATACTTTGCAATCAAAAGACAAAAAAAGTACATTTTTACAAAGAATATTCCTTTGATTATTACTAGTATTTTTCTGATAATGCTCTGTATACATTACATAAAATATGCATTTTTTTATACTATACAGTTTAAAACATTAATTCTTTAGCATTGTGGACAAATTACTTAGAGCCTCAGTGGATGATGTAAAGAGTTAAATGTGGCTCTATGGGTATGGAGTCAACACCTTTTTGTTGGAATGGACCAGTCAAAGTTCAAGTTGGTCTTTCACATAAAGTACAGATAAAATACGTACTCTCATAAAAATATTTTTAAAAAGTTTAAGTGGTATGAATATTTTACACAATGTTTGGCACAACTGAGTTTCTTTCTAACACCCAACAAAAAAATATGACTACGTTTGTAAACATCTGCCTGAGTGCTTAATAAATGTGCTTCATGGCATCACAGACATTTTCAATTAAAAGTTTACAACATACAAAAACAAACTCGCTTCATGGTCACAAATATGCGATTTATTGTATATACTTTTAAAATCAATTATTGCATCACTCAACACATCATAATGGTCCAATTATAATTTTTATATTTGTTAGGACACATTTACGTTGAGAATAAGTGGTGCTTGATTTATCCACACAACTTTTATTTAGTGCAAAATAAATTTTAATTTAATTAATCTATAAACACTTACCTTGAAAGTGGAAATTGCATATCTACTCATATCTGATTAGTGATACTTTTTAAAATTTATTTTAAAATAAGAAAATAGAGTAATGTCAAACAGAAATTAAGAATCTAGATTATTGCTAGTCTTTGCTATTGTCTCAGACTTATTTTAATGTTACACAACTTCTAGGCATGGCAACAAGTCTGACAGAAAACAAAACAAAACATGTAAATTAATAACTTGTTTTAGATTCATACGGATAACATGAATCTTCTGTGAACCAAAAAAACAAACAAAAAAACACCACATCTGTGCATAAAATAAGTAACATTATCCTCCAGCCTGTGTTTAAGTAGCTTCAGAGTTGGCATGACCGTACACAGCCAGGTGTTATTTATTCATTTTTAAAATATTTTTCTATAAATGCAAACACTCCGGTCCTGAGAGCAAATAGAAGACCGAAACACAGAACTCCCTTCATGGCTGTGCTGCCAAATCTCCTACAGGGGGCAGTGTTTCCCCACGGAGTGACGGGGAGCTGCGCAGGCGGGCAGAACAAGCGACTCCCGTGACTAACTGAGCTAACGTGTCCTATTTAACCAAAACTCAATGAGTGTGAAACACTCTTCTTGTTCCAAGAATGTCGCCAGTTAATTAACCAGAAATTTCACTTAGATTTTTAGCCAGTTTCTCAAAAAGAAAAAGATGGAGCAAAAATGTCTAATAAGAGGAAATTGAACTTCATTAAAAAAAAGACAATGGATTATGACGACACAAGACACAAACTTTTTCTTTACAGCAAGAAAAATACACAAATGTGTCACATATAGAAAGAAAAAAAATTATACAAAATTTAGCAGACCTTTGACAGACATGCAATAATGCATCAAACAAATAATTGTAATAGCTACATTAATATATTAGCTCTATTTAAAAGTGATGTTTTCTTGTTCCAGAGGAACAGTTTAAAAATAAAATAAATCCACCACTGAATTTTAGTTGTGGTTTACTTCCTGGACAACACTTTAGCCCGGCTGTCATGTTTCGAGTGGAATTGAAAGTGAGACCGATGAAACACCCCCAAACATAACGTCAGGTGCTCAGAGGCCAGAAAGAAAGGTGCCAGGCACTGAGAAGCGCAGCATGCAGGGCGGACAACAGCAGCAGCAGCAGCAGCAGATGGTAGCCAATCAGTACACAGGCACATTAAAGTACTCATGACGGGGCTGAGGGAGAGAAAACAAGACAACACTCAGTGGTAACAGCCTCCACCGCGTTCACACTCTGCTCCTCAGCAGCAGGACATGCAGGACACGGAGCAGCAGGCAAAATGCAGCATTTAACGACTTCATTCTTTCCTTCATATGAAATTATCCATTTAGACAAAGACAGTCACACAATATCCTCGTCTACATAATATGTTTCAGGGTAAAGTGGGGTACCTTAGCTTAGCTTTAATCCTAGCAAATGTTTTCTTGTTGCTTAAACGTTTGTCAGATTACAACCACAACCTTTAATGTGTTTTAATGGGATTCAATGTAATAGCCTGATAGCAAGTAGTGGTGAATTGTGATGTAGAGTAAAAAAAAAAAAAAAAAAAAAGTTTTAATCTTAACCAGTCTGTTTAGGGTACATGCTCTGTTGGAAGGTGAACTTTGACCCTTGTCTTTATACTACAGTCACTACTCTGCATTCCACTCAGTGTAAGACTAACACCAATTGGCTAGACCTTTGTTCAGTTGGGTCAGTCATTTTTAAGGGAGGTGAATATTTATGCACCTATTTTATGTGAACCTTTTTGTCATTTGGTAGAAATCAGTGTTCAATTTCACAATTTTTATGTTTGCAATAAAAAAAAAAGCCAAATTTTGTTGATCATCGTTGATTTGTCTACAAAAAATGTAAAGGGTAAAACTTCTAAGGTGTGTGAATACTTTTTACAGACACTGTACATTCAATATTATGCAATAACTGACTCTACAACAAACGATATATAATGGAAAAATCACTTTGTACAAGACTCAACGCAACAGTTGTCCTGCTGACATGGAGCTAATAGCGAAAGTTCAAGCTGGAAGACTCCGCCCCCTCCGTTCGCCCATCGACATCATGCTCATCTCCGACCTCAGCACTGGACCTCACCCGGCGCGTCCAATCAATCAAGTTCTGCATAAAAGGATCCACACCCAAGCCGTCAGCCGGTTCCCAGCTGCGTTCAACCCACCACCGCCCCATGACCACCCACAACCTTCGGCTCTCCAGGATAGCACCCTTTCCCGACCTCCACCACCAGTGTCGGACCCCAGGGGAGAGCATCCCTAATCAGTTATCGGGATGTTCATCGAGTTCACATCAAGTCTCAGCTCAAATCAGCTTCCGGACGTCATAAGGTGGTGATGGGAGGTTGCGAGAACGAACGCAGGAGTCCAGGTTATGAAGAAAGTGAATGTTTTAATAATGAAAACTCAGGAACACAGGAACAAGGAGACTGGCAGAGAACACAAGGAAACAGAACAAACTCAGACGAAGACGTTAGGCAACGCTCGACAAGGATCCGACAAGGAACACAGACAAGAGGAGGGACTAAATACATGGGGAAGGTAATCACAGGAACTAGAAACAGCTGGGCACAATCAACAGGGGAGACAGGCAACACAGAGACTATCAGGAAACCGAACCAAACAGAAAAACCTCGAAATAAATGTACAAAGAACTCAAATCACAACACCGGGGCCCGAGCGCCAAATAACTGATATTCATTCCTGTCATTAAACCTTTTAATTTTTCCTTTTTCTCCATCTGAGTCTTTCCAGATTGAAGTAGATTTCTATAGAAGTCCAGATTAATTACATTGAACCTTGTGGTTGTAATCTGACAAAATGGGAAGAAGTTAATATTGTAATATTTTTGCAACGCAAGTAATTTGCATGAAATCAGACATTATGAACATTTTATAGTTTGCAATGCTTTAACTCTGTCAGTGAGTGAGTCACTTATGCAAAGGCAACCCAAATGTGAGCAGTGGAAAGTGGCAGTAATGACGCCAACATAAACAAAAAATACACAGAAAGACAGATTGTTGTTCACAACACAACTGTACAGTCAACAGTGAAGACACCACTACCAGGATACCAGGGATGGCACTAGAAACTGAGATACAGACATATTCTTAAACTGAAAACAAAGACATACAAAATAAAATAAAAAAAAACCTACAGACTCTAGTGGTACAGACAGCCTATACCCACAGACACAAAGTATTCACCTTAGCTGGCCTAATTCTGGAAAAGACCAGAGGCTTCTGACGCCATATTTGGGACCATCACACCTGTGAGGCAAACATTTCCATAAGGACAAAGACCGTTTGATCAAATCTACCAACCTACTCTACAACTCGTCTAGGGAATGTGCTCAAGGAAAAAAAAAAAAAAAAAAAAAAGGGCATCAAGAGTGGACCACTTCAACATCTACGCCCCGTTCATCTCTTCTCAATCTCTCTCAGGTGTCTGCCATGCTGAACTGCTCACAGTCCTCTGAGGCTTCATTAAGTCTAAAGAATATCTGCCTGCTGGCAGCAAAGGAAGGGTCAGGTCTTGAGAAAAAATTTCATTACAGCCCCTATCAAAATAGCTTCCACCAAATCCGCTAAGGTATGTTTTCTAATTACTGGGCTATGTCCTTACTAATGCCTAGAAACACAAGGCATCGGGTCCAAAATAAGTCCCAAACTGCCCCTGCACTGTTTTAGCCATGCAGAGCTTATATTCTGATTTCTCCTCTGG